ACAACAGTCATGCATACGAAACTCGAGGAACCTCTTGTTTATAGAAAGAAAACATTTGAATGAATGGATAAATAAATAATATGTATATAAATGAGTCTTATCATCATCCTAATTTGAAAATATATAATTTTATTTAGATCATTTAAGTGTAAATTTAAATGACTGAGTGAATGAAATGAACACAAATCTACTAATGCATTATTGAAGCTCCGAACTTTAGGTTTAAAATGGGTTGTGGAAGTTAAATGTTTTTTACTATCATTTTTCTAACATCTTTAAAGTAGGCATACTTATTTTAAATATCCAACGATAAATTCGCAAATATAGCTGTGGTTGATTTACCAAATATAGCAACTTTAAACGTTATAATCGGGGGTTGTTGTTGTTTTTTGTTTTGTTTTGTTTTGTTTTGTTTTGTTTTTTTTTTTGGTTTTTTTTAGGTAGTTGAAGATACAGTATAATTCCTATTAAGGGGCATCTTCGTTATTAAAGGCTAGGCCTACACTTGATTCGCGCCGAAAAAGTGTCTTTCTAATAAGGTCATATAAGTGGCGGTATATAAATAAGTTCAGGTTCCCGACATACTCATAGATCGATCGTTGTATGCACCAATGACAATGCGGTATGCTAAATAATTATTTGAACAAAGAAAATATTGTACACATGAAAACCAGCCCCTCAAAAAAAATTCTTGACAGTTACAACGAAGTCATAGACATTAATATTAGTGAGAACAAAACAATAGCTACTCCATGTGTTGTATAGGCCTAGTAGTTTCGGTTGGCGTCTATTTTCCCCTGTTGTATGTAACAAAAATACTTGCACTAATCAAAATCAACTAATTTTAATATTCATATATTTTAGAGATCTTATCATACTGATTATTTGTTAAAATTTATTATAAAAGTGAATTTTCAAAAGCAAAGACACAATCGTCTCTATGCTCAGCCTTGCTTTCCTGTGTATTTATAAAGGCTTGGATAAATATCCTGAATAGACCTCTGTTATAAGCTGATTAAAGTGCAACCTCTGCTGACTTAAAGCGCACATTTCCCTTGAGCTCCGTGTGGAATTTTGACCTCATGGGTCTAAATTCATCATTATTATTATCTATCTGTTGGATATAATATGTAGCCTTACTTTGAGGACGATTGATGAAGATCTTTAGCAAATAGACGACGTCTGCGCAATAAAAGTAGTTAAGTGAATGAAACAGCCATGGGTATAGGCCTAATAACAAGCATAATGTGCTTGTTGTGGCTATCGCACTATAGTTTTGGATTTGATGGTAAGTGATTTAGATATTATTACGGATTATATAATTGTTTCAAGTTTCCATCAGAATCAAAGATCTGGATTTTTTTTTAACGAGATAACGGAATGTAGGGCTAACCTCTGTGACCTGTTTTTGTTGTACAAGGAGACGAACTTTCAAACGCATGTTTACATTTTCCATTTCTATACGAAGTTTGAATTATATAGTAGAGTGCTTTCCTATAGTTTCCATGTTTATTGAGCAAACTACTTCTTAAAGCCATTATGCAAACAAAAAGTGATATAGTTTCGTTGGTGTTTATAATATAATTTATTACTCAGTATCGCCACAAAACGTACCAAGATGATAAAAGATGACTGGCAGTTATGTTTTCATTGGTACAGTAATTTCTAGAGCATGGCAAGTTTTTGCTTATTGAAGTATCTTAAAAATATTAATGTTCCAGTAAGTGTAAGCCAACAACTGTACTTAGGCCGATTATTTATTAAAATCTGCAATTAACCAACCTATTTTCAGATCGCATTATTATTTCCATATTTATAGGCCTACTATTGTAGATATTTACAAAAATGTTCTCATGAACTGTTAAGTTAGAAACGGGTTGTTGTTAATGGTTTTTTCAGTTGTTTGGAACTATTGGAGCAATACGTGATTGTTAGTTAATGAACCAGACACCCTTTGGAAAGAAACTTCCCTGTACTCATAAAAATACATGGTTAAAAACCAAACAATCATAACCACGTAACAATGCGAAGTCTTTAGTGATATATCGTGTGTGGTATATGTTATTTACTTATTGTTAAATGACTCATTAAACACTAAGCCTGCTCGACATGAGGAAATGAATTTACTCAAAACTCTTTTGTGATCGTTTCTCCTGAATTTTGCGATCCGACGGGTGCGCATCTGAAATCAGGGACGTATCCAGGGGGAGCCATGGGAGCCACGCCCCCCCCCCCTTTTGTACACAGTGTTAAAATTTTAAAGCTTATTCTTGAGCCAATACAAATTCTTTCCTGGGATCACTTAAAATGAATACTTCTTAACACGTAAATATGCATCAGTACACGTTATACATAGGCCTAATAGAACACATAAGCCTAAGCGTGATTTAAAAAAATCTTAAATCCATAAATCTCAGGCCAGGTCTTTTAAGATAGAAATGCGATACTGTGGTTCAATTTCGTTTTTATTCTTTTTGCAAGTTTCTCTAAATTTTTGTTTAATAATACTACTACTAATACTAATAATAATAATAATAACAATGATGATGATGACGATAGTAATAATTGATATTAATATTAATAACAATAAAAAGTGAAGAAAATTGTGCTAAATGCGAAAAAAAGTTGTGATTTGTTGATTATAATATAGTATATATAGTTAAAGCTTAGTAAGCTATAATTAGGCCTAAGTTGTCCTGGATATTAATAGATCCCTGATAAAAGATCATTTGTTGGCGTTTCATTTTGACTATAATTGTAATGATGATGAATTTTATTATATAAAAGTGTCATTTCCGGCCATTTCGAGAGGTACTATTTCCTCAAATTTTTCCTCAAGTTGTGAAGTCACGTTTTTGAAGTAGGCCTATGTAAAGTACATACTCAAAGACAATGTTTTTAAGCTTTGTTTTCTATGGTGTATACACACACATTAATAAGATCTCTATGGTTGTCAAAAATCCCTGATAAAAGAT